TAAAATTGACAAATTAAAAGTTTTTTCATCTTCTTCTTCTTCTTTTTCAATTTTCTGGCTCATCGTTTTTTCATCATCATCATCGTTTTTAATTAACCAAAACAACATTTTATATGACAATCCCGAATTTTTTTATTATTACGATTTTCTCCGGCTGAGGTTTTTAATGTTTTTTTTTTCGTTGTTGTTGGCTTTCGGTATTTTATTATCGTTTTACATTTGCATTTGAATTTGTTTTCGTTTTTTGTTTGTTTGTTTGAATTTTTCGACCAAAAACAACAACAACAAAAAACATTTTATGATGATCATCATGAAATGATATTTGAAAAAAAACCCATAATAAACATAGAATCCTATTCGATTATACCAATTTTTTTTTGTTGTTGTTGTTGTTGGAATTTGATTAAAATTGAAATGGAAAAATCATTATCATTTTTATCATCATCATCATTATATAACATGGGATAATAACCCTTTATTTTCTATTGATTTTTTCTTTTCTTTTTTTTTGAATTCGTTATGATTCGATTCCAGAATTTGTTTGTATTTTATTATTCATTATCAATCAGTATTGTGTTTTAAACATTGGTTTGTTTGTTGTTTGGTGGTTGATAAGCGCTAGTGGTCAAATTGTACAAATGATGATGATGACGATGACGACTATTACTACATGAGTAGCATCATTATTTTGTTGTTTGTTTGTTTTTTTCTTTACAAACATAATTTATGATGTTGTAAATGTCGTTTAAGAGGAATGGATTTTTCATTTCCCCTTAATGTGTGTGTGTGGGTGTGATACACCATGACGCCATTCATTTCTTTTCGATTACCTCTCTTTTGCACACATCACTGATGTTTTTTTCGGATATCGGTTGAATTTTGGTTTTTACATATAACCTTGTTATGTTTATTTTTTTCTGGTGAATCGATGTAATTTGGTTAAAATGGACCAACAACAAAATTATTTCTAAGTTCATCATATATGAGTGTTTTAGGTAAAAATAGTTTTTTTTTGGTTTTTTTTTTGAAATCCAAAATGAACAATAAATCTCTTCTAAAATAAATTCTGATTGTAAATGAAAAAAGTATCACCCAGTATGATGATGATAGTAGTATAATTTTCAATTGTTTCTTTCTTTTCAATATGTCAACCTAACCCAAAATCTAACCCAAACCAAACCAAAAAAAAAAAAAAAAAAAAAAAAAAAAAAAAAAAAAAAAACAATCACCCAACCACCATGACGACTGGACACCNTAAAATAAATTCTGATTGTAAATGAAAAAAGTATCACCCAGTATGATGATGATAGTAGTATAATTTTCAATTGTTTCTTTCTTTTCAATATGTCAACCTAACCCAAAATCTAACCCAAACCAAACCAAAAAAAAAAAAAAAAAAAAAAAAAAAAAAAAAAAAAAAACAATCACCCAACCACCATGACGACTGGACACCAACCTAAAATGAAAATTCCATTCAGTTTTGTTTTGCGTGTGTGTGTCAGATTGTTAAAATAGAAAAGAGGAACAAAAAAAAAAATATCCAAAAGTTGAAATGTGAAATAAAAATAAAATTAATTTGCATGGAAACCAATTTAATTTTAATTTATTATCATTGCCTTTTTCGTTTTTTTTCTTCTTCTTTTTCTCCCGTGTATTCCCTTCCTTCTTTTGCTCAATCAAAGTTTATCGTGTTTTTGTTGTTGTTGTTTTTGTGAAACTACGAAATGAAATGAAATGAAAAGAAAGCATGACATTTGACTATGATATACGATGGATGACTATTTTCACTTATTCGTTCACTTACTGTATTTTTACTTTATTATTGGTTCGTCATTTTCATTTTGGCGACATTACAAACAAGCAGCAACAAAAAAAAATTTATTATTATTATGATCCACACACACACACACACAATTCGTTTGCATCATTTGCTTTAATTTTATTCTCATTGGTTGTTTGGCTGGTTGGTTTGCTAGTTTGATATTCGGGTTGTCTCTTTCATCTGTGATGGTCATTTAAAATGACCAGAAAAAAATGCAGTTTTTTCCAATTTAAATTCCTTCAAGTTTTAAGGTTTTTCTTCGAAGAAGAACCAAAAAACAAACCAAAAAGGGATAAGAACAGACTGATTTCCATCTTAAATCCTGGTCAAATAATCAATTTGATCCATCTGGAAATTTCAAATACTTAATACTTTTTTCCCCAATAATAATCGATTCTTTTTGATGTTTTTTTTCGACAATTCCCAATTACACTTACATTACTCATTACAAACAAACAAACCATAAATGATTATTGCCTAATTTTCAATCGATTCTGTTAATTGATATTGGAAATAATAATAATATCAAAAAAAATATGTTATTCAGTTTTAATGAATCTTTATGGCAGGGTAGTAATGAACATCAACAACAACAACATTTTGCATCATCATTGGCCATCATCATCATCAGATATTGGGACAACATTCATTTTTTTTCAGGTCCTTTGGGTTATTATTTTCGATCAGAAATTTCTTCTTTTTTTTTTTATTTGAAAGTTTCGATTTTTTTTTGTCAAAAAAAAAATGTTCACAAAATTAATGTATGTGTGTGTCCTTATAAAGTAAAGTATATAGAAATTTTCTTATTATCGATATATAAAGAGATTTTTTTCTGTTACTTTCGATGAAACTTTTACTTTTTTATTTTTTTTATTTTTCAATATGATTATCAACATCAATTTAGTTTCTCTCTCTCTCTCTCTCTCTCTCTCTCTCTCTCTCTCTCTCACTCTCGCTCTCTTCATTAGATAC